GACATGCAGACGTGAATGAGGCGTAGCGGCTAATTTGACGCACATGTTAGTTGAGCCGTGGAGCAGGCAAGCTCGTACAACTCGTCTGGCCCGCCCCTTCCTTGTTCCAGAGAGGATCCTTGTTCAGGGCTTCATCGACGGTTTTCTTTGCTTCTTTTTTCATTTTTAGTCAACTCGGCATTCACAATTCCATACCCACCGCTAAGACCAACAGGTTCGATCTGGGAGTATTGCTTCGAGCAGTCCCAGAAGTGCAGGGTGTGGCTCTTGCACACGAATGCGAATGTATTGGTGCGAAGTGGGCCGGCAGTAAAGAAAAAAGGAAAAGAATCCGTCGAAAACGCTTAGGTTAAGGGCTCACTCACCTTCCTAATCGGCTGTGCTAAGGAATGAGAGACTAGCGAGAGTATGAGGCGAGAGAGCGCAACAGATGAGAGGGCGCCAGACAACAGCCTGATTAAAAAAATTGCAGCTGCAGCAGCTTACTTTGCAAGGACCCTAGCGCTCTTGTCGGTTGATTTCCTCCTGCTTCAGGCAGACCGCTATTCTTTCGGAGTGGAGTGGCACGTCTGCTACGGGGTTTGTAGATTTTGAGCAGCTCGATCGTGAGATTTAAAGGAGGATTCACGATAAGAACGAAGGTCGAAGAAGGGGAAAATTGCCTAGTTGGGAGACAGGCGGACCTCCTGAGGGTGCGGACTGACGCGCAATTGGCAGCGAAAGATTTGACCTCGGCGATCTAGCATGGCTCACTCTTGGCGCGGTTGGCGGGGTACGCCCACCGACTATCTAATCACTCGCCGCAGGTCTATACGTGGCGAGTGATTAGATAGCAGAGAGAGCGTAGTGTTGAAGAGGGCACAGCGATGAGAGTCGCATCAATGCGCAAATCAACGGGCAAGGAAGGGGTCCCATTTTCTCGGGTTCTGGGCCGTTTCTCATGGTTTTTCCTTCTTTCGTGTACCACTCCTCTAATTTGAAATGGGTTGCTTTTTCATCGTGAATTCTCCTATAAGGTCATTTCAGATTTCATATGTTCAAGAAGAACTCGTTTTCGGCAGCATGAAACATTCTTCAGCTGAGTTAGAATGAAATGGTGCCCCGGTAGCGTAACTGGTAGCGCACTTGCCCGGAAAGCGAGAGGTGCGGGTTCTAGTCCCGCCTGGGGCGAAAGTTTTGTTCACAACCCAGCATTCTTGTGAAACATTCGCAAGGCGAACTGCGGCCAAAAACAGCAGTTAACAACACAAGTTTAGTATTTGTTTGTTCCAAAATTTTTAATTGCCTTTGAATAACGCAATGTATGACGTGTTGCAGAGGCGAGGTGGTCAATCTTCGAGAGCGGGTCGTAACTCAAGGCGACTTTTCGGTGTGCAAATCCACAAGCGTGGTGATTGATAAGGATCGACGGCTTGTCTACTACATTGCAAATGTTCGTCACCCGACTGAATGGAACGTGTAAGTTCAAACGTAGTTGTCACACTAGTGGGGCATTGTCCGGCTAAATGCGATGCTCGCACAAGTTAGGGTGTTGTGAGATTCCCGAGATCGCATTGATCCTGATTCATTCTGGATGGAACGTAAGTCATCCCTTCCACTTTGCTGCGCTTTCCCCTGGTTTATTGATCTGAGCAGGAAATCTGAATTTGAGATCTAAAGTCTGCTCAAAAAATTTATGTGCTCGTGCTCACTGGTGTAATGTGTTTCAATAAATACTGCCCTGGCCGATGCGCATGCTACTCGGCTGAAGTTGTTAAGCTCGAGCTCGCCTCCTTTGGTCATCCAAGTACTACCCCCTGCCCCTCCTCGTTGATTTGCACCGGACGGTTGACCCTGATTTCGAGCTCGCTGGATTCTCAAGCAGTACTTCATTGGAGATGTTCGCTTAGTGTGGGAGCCGCATGAGCGGGGACAAAACATGGGATGGTTGTTGAAAGCCTCACTACACAACGGGGGCGGTACATCCCAGCGAGGCCCGCTCGGCGCACGGCAAAGGCAAAGTCAGCGGACGAGTCGCGCGCGTTTATAGGGATTTCGCGTCAAGTTAAATAGTGATCCCACTGCACGTCCTACATCGACACACCACGCGCTGCAACTCGTCCGACCGACTCTGCCTTCTTGCCGCGCGACGGGCCTCTTGCGGGGTACCCAAATCCCTATAGTCGCGCGCGATCCTCCATGACGTCCTTCTTGCCGCGCGACGGGCCTCTTGAGGGGTACCCACAACAGGAGCCATACAACAGGGCGCGAGTGCTCATCGATACCGTTACGTCAACATCTACGGCGGTCCTCGTTGGTCAGTATTCGCAACTGCACATCCGTCGGTTTTGTTCGGTACCCCAACATGTAGTTCTCTTCTCTCTCCTCAATTCTGAAATTCTGGTTTGTCTTCCATACGGTTTCCACGCGCGCAGCACAGTCTTCCTACGTACAAGCTGATTCTTTCTGAACATTCGTTTGGCTGCAGCTGCTGCTCAAATAGGAACAATAGATTCCAATGAGACATTCTTTTAACCTACACACCCAAGTGAGGTTCGTCCAGCGAGTAGCTTCTGCAGCTCTTTCCTGCGCAGCGCAGAAGGGCTACTCGCTGAAGTTCAAATCAGAGGACTAATGTCTGACCGTTCGAGGAAGGAAAGAATGTGTGCAAGTGGTGTGGAATCAACACATGGCGTCGAATCGTACTCGACTGCCCGAAGTTATACGAAGTGCGTCCCAAGCAGGGTCTGTCCTATCGTTGTTACTTTTCGAAAATTTTACGACCCCCTCTCCCCCAACGTGGATTTGATACGACCCCCTTTTCCCTACCTCCACCATCTCCATCTTCCATCAAAACCCCGCCCACTTTTTCCTCCAAAAATGCCGTCGAGCGGGGGGGGGGTACAGTACGTCCACTCTGACGGCACAATTATATTTCAAGCGACTAAGTGGGGAGGGTAAGTGGTAGGACGCCCCCCCCCTCCTACAAACTACAACCAGGTACGACCCCCCGGGTCTATAACTCTAACCCCCTAGGGCTGACTCAGCAGTTCAAGCGCAGTGATCACGCACTAAGTGAAGGTTTAGAGAGAACTCGCATGGGCTCAATAGGTACAAGCGAGTGGCGAAAAAAGTGGAGAAATCCGTCAAGAAAACGCAAAACGGGAACCCCCTTTTTTTGGCCGTTGGTTTTCACTCATGAACAGGTAACAGCTCAGAAAGCGGACGTATGAACGAGTTCACCGCAACGCGTTGATGGCACCATGCCAAACCACGCTTCAATCGAGATGCTCCAGTTGTGCCGCTGCTGGCAACGCAGCTCGTCCAAATCACCAACTAAACTAGTGGGCGGATCGCTTTTGGGGGCGGAGTGCTTTCGAAGTCCTGCTCAGCAACCAGCGCACCTTTCGTCGTGAAAGCGCCACACCTCGCTTCCTGGCAGCCAAGTAACTGATTCGTGTGGTGCATATGCTTCCCCGATGCGCTCCCTCTTTATCGTAATCGCTGCCTTTAAGTGCCTAAAATCTGCAAGCAATCACCTGAAAGTTGAACAGTCCAACGCTCAGCGCTAGCACATGCAAGAATCCTGAATCTTCAAATGTTATGTCGAAAGTGGTTCAAATGCGCGAAACACTAAAATGAATTTTAAAAGGCAGAGTTCGAAGTTCAGAATGGACATTTTTTGCACGCTAATCTTCAAATGTTAGGAAATTTTGTTTCATCTCAAACAAGTTAGTGAAGATCCAATTCCATATTGTCACTTCTGTCTCAGATGTGTATCCAGCTATGACGAAAGTTTCAACGGGATGCGGCGGCTGACTGAGGGTGGATCATCTTTCAAGTAAGTTTATCAGAAATGTCAAAACTGGGTGTAAAACTACAAAACAGTGCCATCATTCATTTTCAAACATTTTTTGGTGTTTAAAGTATTCCCTATTAAACTCACTTAAGAGGTGAGCGGGCTTGCCATCATCTGTGTTTGTTGCCCTCGAATGGATTTGCCTGTTGGATGACTTCTCTCAGCCAACCTCCACAATGTCGCTTCTACGCGCTGAACTTTTCCGACAAGTCGTTTTTGCCAACGGCTACGCTCGTTGCCCAGGTAGGGTGGTCTTCTAAATATTGCATTTCGATATAGAATCTGAGTTATTTTTAGGCACAATGAATGCCCACAATCAGAGCGGTCACAGACCGTTCACTACCTTGACACTTTATGTATACATGTACATTAATTTAACAGAAAAATAAACACAAGCAAGGACAGGACACAGTAAATTGAAATACAACCTGGAATACAAGAAATAGCTGCGGGAGGGGGTCGGAGCGGGGGCTAGCTTCAGGAGCTGCGGGAGGGGGTTGGAGCGGGGTTAGCTTCAGGAAAGAAATTTTGGCACTATTTACCCTTTACTGCCCCACTCCTCAAGAACTGAGCCGGTTTTTATCGAAATTCGTCCATGACTGTGGATTTGGCTAGAAACTTGCCTTCAGGGGTAATTTCGACCCGTAGAACACAAAACAACGCCAGTGGCGCGGGTGCCAAGCGTTTTCGCGCTAAACCGATGTGATATTCGTGTTCTACGGGTCAAATTACCCCGGAAACAACTTTCTAGCCAAATCCACAGTCATGGACGAATTTCGATCAAAATCCGGCTCAGTTCTTGAGGAGTGGGGCAGTAAAGGGTAAATAGTGCCGAAATT